TACCCTGCCCTTCCCGCCGCGGCAGGCTCAGGGTGGCTAACAATAATAATTTCATTCACAATCCTCCATCATTCATTCCCAACAGTGGAACCAGATGGAACCACACATTTCCAAACAACATGGGAATCCATCATTATAGACTTCTTGCTTCTCACCATCATTTGGATGGGATACGTTATTGAGCTTAACACTGTGCCGCCACCACCACATTTCATAGCCACATCATTAACAACCTGTATCTTCAGGAATAGGTTCTTTCTATTCTTCAGAAAGATGCTATACATCCAATATCACTCTTTCAATGTGGATAGGTTTCTGTTATCAATACTTCACCATTCTGAAAAAGAATGGAGAGCACCATCCTAACCTAGACCAAAGGGTTCCAAAATGACCATAGCCTCTTCCTTTGCTAAAGTGACTCGAACAAGGGGTGTAAAATCTCTAGCCAATGACTTTGGAAGTAGGTAACATTCACTATTTGCTTATGTTACTAGCGGGCAAAACAGTTCCTGCCACAACCTCCCTAAGCACATTCAACAAAAACTTGTTGTATCATCTGCCTTCATGCAAAATATATCTTTCTAGGAGATTTGCAAATGTGTGGCACTGGCAACTGCCTCTTCTTTTGTATCCTTGTATGCTGTTGACATCTAGGCACAACAGGATGCATTTGGCCAGCCTGTATTTGATGCTGTTTTCTCTTAAATGTGGCTGCAGCTTGCTAATGCCATGTATGTAGTACTGCATAAAGACCACAAAGAAGTAAAACATTACTTACTTGTAGCTGGTGTTCTTCAAGTGATTATTCATGAACTAAACAATCTGTTCTACATTGCTGTTGCTGCTCTTTTTTTCATCACAGAAGTTGCTATATGAAGCGGTCTAAGGGAGCTATATGGGATACAGTGTGACAGTCCCTTCAGGGCATCTGCAGAGCACCAAAATTCTCCTATGGGGAAGCCAAATCTCAATTTGTTAAGGCATTCATAGTTGGATGTCACTACAAGTTAGAGTTAGCTGGTATGCCATGTGAGGGGGAGATGGTAGGTAGTTTTGTTTTTAAATTGGCCTAAAGATGTTGGGCAATTTAATGGCCTAAGGATGTTTCCCTTCCCTTATTTAAAAGGTGAATATGTCACTTCCTAATGCAAATAAGTTCTAATATGTAATTTCAACTGCATTGATGTTTTTAAAAAAGTATTCATTTGTGTTCTTCTAGCTGCCCAAGCATCATCTTCAACAGTATCCCAAACAGAAGACCAACGTCCTCAATTAGGTGGGTCTGCCCTTAATGTCACTCTGTCCATTATGGACAAGCAGAAATTGTCATTAATCTTTCAATAATTTGAACAGATTTGGACAGTTAGCAGAGAAGTCATCACAAATGTCAGTGGTCCCTGGATTATTCTTCTGCATCAAATTTTTTATTTATAAATCACTATGTTAATTTTTTTCTTAGAAAGGAGGACCTGCCATTCAAATGTCAACAATCAGCCAGTTGCACTGGCTAATGTTATGACATCATTGTGAAGCATAATTTCATTTACCATAAAAACCTGAGTTTGTTGTATTATTGGAAATTGTATTGAAATATTTATAATAAAGTATTAGCAAAAGGGAAAAAATCTTAGCTTATGTCAGGAAAAAAGGATTTAATTGCCATTTTGTTTTCATTCAGCTGGCAAAAGTGAAGGACAGAATTTCACTATGTCTGCCATTTTAAAAATATGATTCTGGTATTGTATTAATTGTTTTCAATTGATACAAGAAGTTTTTGCAAAGGGTTGTGTGTGTGTGTGTGTGTGTGTGTACATGATGGTAGTTGATTAGTTCTTCTACCTACTGGCAGTTTTAAATTTATTTTAACTAATGGTTTGTATGTATTTTATTATTATTTATATTGTAAACTGCCTTGAATTCCTATAAGGTAGAATGGTAGCTAGTAAATGTTTTAAATAAAATAAAATATATATCTATACAAACACACAAATAGTGGAAGACCTATAAGGACCTTGGGGGGCACCTCATTTTCCCGTGTATCCACTCCTCCATAATTTTGTTTCCCTTCCCTGGCAGCCCCCATATCCTCTTCCCTTTTCCTGTTTCTTTCTCTTCCTCCCACCCACCAGCCAAACCTATCTTTATCTGCTTCACTTTCTTCAGTTTTCCTTCTTTCCTCCCCCTGGCAGTCTCTCTCTGGGAAATGTCTGGCCTAGTGTCATAGCTGCTGTTGTGCCAGGGCTACTTGCGTGGTGGCTGATTCTGTGCCTGGGTAGTGAGAGTCTAGTGGTCACCACTGGGACTGTCCCCAGCAGTCCTCCTCCACCAGAGCATGTAACAGGGGAATGGGACAGGATTATTTCCAGGGCAGTTTTGGCCCTCAAGTCTACCTCTGCTCCTCCACATAGGGTTGCCAGCCTCCAGGTGGGGCCTGGAGATCTCCCACTTTTACAACTGATCTCCAGCTGAGAAATATCAGCTCCCTTGGAGAAAATGGCTGCTTTTAAGGATGGACTCTATGGCATTGTACCATGCTGAGGCTTTTCCCCTCCCCAAACCCCACCCTCTCCTGGATCCACCCCCAAAGTCTCCAGGTATTTTCCAAACCAGACCTGGCAACCCTACCTCCACATATTTGCTTTACAGAAACCAAAGTTTGGAAGGAACAGCAATATTGTTGTGGTTGCCTAGTAACATCCAAAATGGCAACTTTGAGCTCAGTGGCGTTCTTCTCTTAAAGCTGCAGGCATTGTTTCTATTATTTAGTGGAAGCTGCGTCCACTAATTTTTTTAAAGATTTCTTTTTTTCCTGCAAACTTGGGATTTTCTATAGGGTTGTAGAGAAATCAACCCTGTCTCTCCCTAGCTCCATTTTGAAGATCTCTTAATCCATAATCTATGGCCAATCAGAATTTAGAATTGTGTGTGTGTGTGTGTGTCTGCCTGTCTATAGTCAACACGGCACCATCTATAGATATTTAAATCTGTGAATTGGAGCCACATCGAGAAGGAAGAATTTTCTCCAAACTTGAAGGACTCCCCAGCTTTGCAGAAAAACCCCAAATCTCAAACAACTGGGGGTGATGTAGGGGGGAAAAACCTCACTGTGGGCAGGCAGGGGAAGAGGAGGAGGAGCCTTCTCCATCTGTTGCAAACCCACATCCCTCCCCTGCCAAGATGACTGTCTCTCAGATGTTGCCAACCCATTTCCCTCTGCCACTAAGGCAGTAGCATTGGAGGCAGGCAGGTTGGTGAGGAAGAGCAAAAGCATCTGGCTCTGACCCCCATATCATGCCCCCTCTGCTGACAGATTTGCCAGAGCAGCAACTGCTGCCACTGCCACAGCATGTCACATAGCTGGCTGGCTGCATATGGCATGGGGCCAAGTGGGCAAAGCAGCAGGGAGGGGGCAAAGCAGCAGAGAGATGGGGAAAGAGACAGGCAGGCAGGAGAAGTGGTGGGCAGGAGGCAGGCAAGCTAAATTTCCGCTGATGGGTCTTGCAGATTCCCTCTTGACAATATATGTCAACATGGCACCATCTGTGGGTACTTAAATCCAGAGGCCAAAGCTATGGACAGAGAAGACAAATGTTCGTACAAACCTGAGAAAAGCCTCTGTGTTGCAGACAAATCTAAAATCTAAAAAAAAAAATGTGGGATTAAGCCAGTCAAAGTAAGAAAAGCAAAACCTGTACATTTGAGAAATGAATGTTCTCTTAAGATTTCAGTGGCCATTTTGGAATTTGCTATGCAATCACAATGATATTGCTGGCCTTCATAACTTGGTTTCTGTCTGTAAAAGGCAGAAGGAGGAGCAGGCGTTTTATGGGGCCATTTTGGACTCTCAGTCCACCCCTACTCCCCCCTCTTGTCCTGGCCCAGCAGCAACCAAAGGACAACTTTCCCAGCATGACTTGCATAACTCAACCAGGTGCAGCAGTGGCTTCCAGACAACTCAATGCCACACAACTCACCTGAGCCCAGCAGTAGCCTTTACACAACTTACATAACTTAGCTGGCCACCACCTGAATTACTCGTGCATCTGCTACCAAATGTCTTCTGAAGCTTGGCCAGACTTTTCCCAGAGAGGCTCTCAGGGGACAGAAAGAAGAAAAGCTGAGAGCCAGTGTTATGTAGTGGTTAGATTGTCAGAACAGGATCTGGAAAACCCACGTTCAAATCCTCACTTTGCCATGGAAGCTTGCTGGGTGATCTTGAGCCAGCCACCACTATCCCTTAGCCTAATCTATCTCACAATGTTGTTGTGCAAATAAAATGGAGGAGAAGAGAATGATCTAAGCACTTTGGGTCTCCATTATGGGAAAAGGTGGGGTATAAATGAAGTAAATAATAAAATTGAAGACTGCAAAGGCAGATAAAAGGTAGATTGGTTGGTGAGTAGGAAGGAAAGCAGGAAGCAGGGAAAGGGGAGAGAATATGCGGAAAGAGGGGAAGAGGAAATAATGTGGGGAAGGGAACACAGAGAAATGAAATGACCCCACAAGGGCTTGTGGGTTTTTTTTTGCTGAACTAATTTATGATATTCTAATCTTACACATATTAGCATATGACCTGTATTTTAATGTTAAAGTCTTAATGGCCTATCTTTCTTTTTGTAGACCCCTACCAAATACTTGGACCAACCAGCAGCCGTCTTGCAAATCCAGGTATGAAGAAGTATTTCTGCTTTAGATTTTTATCTACAAGGTTCACAGGGAAATGCTGATGAGAGTATACTGCTGACTCAAGACTAGAGTGATGGAATTAGATATTCTTGGGTTCTCATGAAGTCTGTCTCACAATATTTGATCTCAATTAACCAAATGCAAACAGAAGTAAACTAGAAAACACAGTTATCTATGAAAATAATGGAACATTACCCCCACACACACAATGCCATATCACAAACAGTTTTTGAAACTTCCCGCAGTTCCAAAATAAATTTTCTACATGGAATGGTGGCAGCTTTCAAAATAAAAGCAAACTATAATTCCCTTGAGCTCATGAAATTCATAGCATGGCCTTGTGGCACTACACTTGATTATCCTTGATTAGTTAAAATGTTATTGTTGTCATGTCCACATTTAATAGGACGTATGTCCCATTTAAGTAGGAGCTGCGGTGGCTCAAGTGGTTAAGACGCTGAACTGCAGGCTGTGGAAGGGCGGTAGTTCAGCAGTTCAAGACCCGAGTGTGCCACATGACGGAGTGAGCTCCTGTCTCTAGTTCCAGCTCCTGCCATCCTAGCAGTTCGAAAGCAAGAAATTGCAAGTAGATAAATAGGTACCACTTCAGTGGGAAGGTAACAGCGTTCCGTGTGCCTTGGTGTTTAGTCATGTCGGCCACATGACCACGGAAATGTATTCAGACAGCGCTGGCTCTTCGGCTTTGAAACTGAGATGAGCACCGCAACGCTAGAGTCGGATTCGACTGGCTTTCGAGCAAGGGAACCTTTACCTTTTTATGTACCATTTAACTCAATGGGCTTGCTTCCAAGTAACCATATATAGAATCAAGGTATAATATTTCTTACCCACTGTATTTCCACACTGTTGAAATTGTTAGTGAATGTAAGGTAAAGAATTTTTCATATAATTCATGGGATCATTCTTACAATACTTCAGTAATCTATTTCTCACATTGTTTGTGAAATAGAGACGATTCCAGTTTTTGTCACATAACATATAACTGTTTCCTCTCCAAAACAACCTGTCTATGCCCTGTGTTTTGCCTATTTGGGAAGACTGCAATCCAATTAATTTTTAATAAAAACATGTTTAACACAGTTCTGGGGCTAGATGGGTGATGGTAAAATTTACATAATCTTTGGAGTCTGGTCAAAGACATAAAAGAACATAGCTTTTACTTAGATAATATTATTATTTGTCCCAAAATACTATTGTGAAATTATTTAGTAAATTCTTCAATTGGAATCAAAATTTATAGTACAAAAAGAAGTTCATGAAAATTTTACCCATTTCCAGTATTTCTGAGACAGTAACATTATGACCTACAGGGCATGAACTGGAAAAGACAAACAGTCCTTTAGATTTTTCAAGACAGGGGTTTGGTATTGCTAACAATTCAAAGCTGCAAGTGGTTAGCTATTTCTCTGCTTATTCTTCCTTTCTTTCCTTATGTCCACAGGGAGTGGGCAGATACAGCTATGGCAGTTCCTGTTGGAGCTCCTGTCAGATAGTTCCAACTCTAATTGTATCACCTGGGAGGGCACCAATGGAGAGTTCAAGATGACTGACCCTGATGAAGTAGCTCGGCGCTGGGGAGAAAGAAAAAGCAAACCCAACATGAACTATGATAAGCTCAGCCGTGCTCTCCGTTACTATTATGACAAAAATATTATGACTAAAGTCCACGGTAAGCGTTACGCCTACAAGTTTGACTTCCACGGAATTGCTCAAGCTCTCCAGCCACATCCTCCAGAATCATCCATGTACAAATATCCCTCAGACCTGCCTTACATGAGTTCCTATCATGCACACCCCCAGAAAATGAACTTTGTAGCTCCCCATGCTCCTCCTTTGCCTGTCACTTCCTCCAATTTTTTTGCTGGACCCACTCCATACTGGAATTCACCAACTGGAAGTATCTACCCTAATACTAGGCTTCCAGCCACGCACATGCCTTCTCACCTTGGCACTTACTACTAAAGGAAGAAAAATATTTAAAAAGGACATTTCTCCATGGAATACAATGAATTGTAATGGAGATCATGAACAAAAAGTGCCTAAAAGACATAACAAGGTTGACTGGGAACAAAGATGTCAATCATTTTTTTAATAAGGATTACTGGAGAGTATTAAAGATGCTACTATATAAAGAATGTTGACATTGAGTCAGCAGATCAGACACAGTGAAATACTGTTCTAGGTAAAAGTATGTAATGATAAAGTTGGGGACAGAAAAAGTTTATAAGCTTTTGTATCATGTTTGATATCATGCTAGTGCAAACTGGACTCCACTACAGCAATATAAGGATAATTCTATTATGATCTAGGATACATTATGTGAACATATAAATTTATTAAAAAATGTATTTTTCAACAAAAATGCAGAACAATGTCAAAAATATTTGTCTAGAGCAGGACCTGATTTTTTTAATGCAACAGTTTTATTTGGGATGAAATTAACACATTCCATTAAGAGGAAGGGATCAGCTATTTCAAACTGTGAAGACAATACAAGCTCTAAGATTCCTTGATAGTGTTAAAGAGCTCTGAGCCAAACATTGGGACTGAGAATGTGCTGAAGGGCAAGTGTGTGTTTGTAGGCTAAGGGGTGAACCCAAAGGGAGGTTCTCCTGAGTAAGCCCTGCTGAAATGAAAGGAGACTATGCAACAGCGCTGCTGTAGCCCTGTGTCTAATACGTGAAGTAGAAAGGGGTGAGAGGAGGAGGACAAAGGTGATAAGAGTAAAAGAGTCATTTTCTCTGGACATATAGGAAATTGAAAACTGGACAGTTTTTGAACTTTGAGGAATTACTTGTTTGGACTTGAGTACTATTATGTTCAGTATTATGCCATTTCCAGTGTTATCAAAGACTTGATTTTTTTTAGAGTTCAAAAAGAGGGAAGCAAGTAGTATCAGAGTATGCATTTCTTTATAAAAATGTAAAACTGGAATTGTCTTATATTTAAAAGTAACATTTAGGACCTCATCTTAAGGGAATTTGTTTTCTACTGGTTGAAGGTAGGAGACAGTCCCCAGTTGCCAAAGTCTGAAATCATATAGATATTTTTGTTAGGCAGTGCCCGTTTTTCTTTTCTGAGTCGCAAACGCTGTGCGTTTGTCAGAATAAAATATACAAGTCAATGTTATTTTTTTCTTTTTATATAATAATTATATAACTTATGCATTTATACACTACGAGTTGATCTCGGCCAACCAAAGACACAGAAAGGGACAATCAGAAATATTGTGGCCTTGAATTTTAACTCTGTATGCTTCATGTTTACATTATGAACTTAACTAGTACTTAGAAAGCAGAATGTATGTAATAAAATAAGCTTGGCCTAGTGTGGCAATTCCGATTGACACTGTAGTCTGCATTTTCATCTCTTGTGACACTAATGCTAACCATGTGTTGTTCCAGAAGTGTAATTTCTTTTTAAACATTGTGATTATTGGACATTCCCTTAGAAAGTAGACCTAGAAAAGACAGAGAAGGTATGGCTACCAGCTGCAACACATCTCCTCCTTCCATGGTTAACATGTAGTAAAACAAAATGTGTGATGTGATATCACTATTTCCTGAATTTTCCTACAACTGTGTCAGTTCATTGACTGTGACTAGCAGGGGTAGGGAACCTCTCAACATGACAATGCCTTGCTAGACATTAACAGGGAAGAAAGGAGTGACAAACGCAAGCCTGCTACTTTTGACAGCTGCCATGCATGTTGTGTATGTCTTCTTCCACTCTAAAGAACCACAACTAAAATAATTTTAAATCCATACTCTACACCATTCACTACCAGTTTCCCATGCCCTAGTTTCACTAACCTATTCTCTCATCTCTCCCCAACTCTGTTCTTATTCCTAGATCATCTCTCTCTCCCCCCTCCCTCTTTTTAATATATATGTCTAGGCCATTTCTTAGTAAAAAGAAACCAAGTGAAAATATGGCCTGAAGATTTAAAACATAAAGCACAAAACAGGCAACCCAAAGTCTTTTAATTAATTGTGCTTTCCTTTGCTTTGAATCTAAACATTAGCAATACTCATTTACCCTCAAACTATGTACAATTATACACCACACTATTATTTAATAGTTATTGAAGAAATTCAGTATTCTTATTTTTAAAACTAAGCAAGCAGCAACCTCTATCAACATGTTTTATTGTCACTTGAAGGGTCATCATCAAAGCTCATATTGAAATAAATGTTGTTAGTTTTTAAGGTACCAGTGGACTCCTAAACTCTTTTGCCCTCAGTGGGCTTAGAAGGCTGATTCGGTTCTGGATGGCACTGTTAGACACTTGTGAATGATGCATAGCTGTGAAATCCCATGCAATTAAATCTTGATGTGATACTGCCTGTTTTGCTCACCTGTTAACTCTAACAATTATTGGGACCATTTCAGTTTTTTAAATTTTCACATATACATTTCATGTTCTTCTTAGAACATTGTGCTTTGCACATTTCTTAAGGAATAAATAAGGATTATCTGGTTTTTGCCCAAGGAAGGCAACCGCTGTATGGGAAGGCAACCGCTGATACTAATTCAAAATACATGTTTGACAGAAACAAAAACAATTTAGGTGCTTTATATTGCCAACCATTTAAGCAGAACTCTAATTAGATTTAAACAATCTTTTATATTGTCTGTCCAAGAGAAACTTTGCTAAACTGAACAGGTGGTTATTTCAGATTTAGTAAAGTTAATTATCATACAGGTGACACACAAACCTTGCACAGCTTGCAAGAAAGCAAACCTGCCTTTTGTTTGACTTTCATAAGCAACTGAACCTTTTGACAATTGACCTTAACTGGAAATGTGTTTGCAGAAGTAACCACTGAAAATACAACTGCCCAGAACAAAGGCAAAGTCAAAGGATCACAACTCAAAGCAGGAGAAAGACTGTCTTTACATTTTTGTTCTCTGATGGTCCAGTCTGAACATGTGAGAAGTAGTCCCTTCCTGGTGTCAGGCAGGGTCGCTGACCATTTCAATTCCATAGGAGGGGGCCTCTCTCCCAAGCTTCCAGTCTTGGCTCTGCCTGCAGAGGATTCCTTCACCAACAGTTCCCCCCCCCCTTTCTTTTTCTTATCTCTTTCTCATTGTTTTGTCTCCCTCCCCTTACTTCCCCCCCCCCTTTTTTATTTGCCTTTGGGGCGGGAGTAGCAGGGATACACCTACCTCCTATGGTCAGCTGGGTGGGAAATCTCACACCAGAGAGACCTGCCCCCCCTCTCACAGCCAGTCATCCTCAGGAGTAGAGGAGGACCAGTCCAAAGGGACCTGAGGCAACAGAGGCAGTCATCCAGGGTCGTGGGGTGGCTAGCATTCCTTTCAAAGGCAGCAGTATTTGGGGGGATGGTATGAATTGATATCTGATAGAGGATAAAGACAAAAAGAAGGCTCTAACCACGCACAAGAAAGAAGTCAAACCCAAGAAATGCTTCCATTCCTTTTGCAATGCTAAGCACAACACTGGTTTTCTACCAGCTCATTCTCCCAGGTGTTGCTGGCAGACCAAACAATCTGGGACTCCCAATTCCTCTTTCTGCAAACCAACCAACCAGAGGTCATGAGGAGCAAAAAAGAGTTCTTCAGCATAACATCAACAGCAGACCAGTCCCACCAAACTTCGGAGGTCAGGTTCAATTTTTCACAGAACATTGGAAGTCATCTGTTGGCAACTGGTGGATACTGGACAAGATTACACATGCCTACACTCTGGAACTGCAAACCCTTCCTCATGATGGATTCCTCCAAGTCTCGACAAATCAGTGCCCAAGGAAACACCTCCTCCTTCTTCAAGCTATCCAACATCTTTGGGGCATTGGAGAAATAGAACTGGTCCCAGAGGACCAAAAGTCATCAGGGGTCTACTCAATCTTCTTAATTGTCCCAACAAATAATGAAGACATGAGAGCCATTTTGGACTTAAAGTGGCTGAATTGCAGGCTCAAGAAAAGAAAGTTCTGGGTGGAAATGCTCAAATCTTTAATTTCCTCAATCCAGAAGGACTTTCTGCATCAATAGATCTGTCAGAGGCTTATTTTCATATCCCATTTTGGGATTCTCAACAGAGGACCCTATGCTTCGCCTAAAGCAGGAATCATTTCTAATATAGGGCCCTTGCCTTTGGTCTCAAGACTGCCCTAAGAGTGTTCACAACTGTTCTAGTCTCACTCATTGCTCTTCCATGAACTCAGGGTGTTTCCACTTTTCCATACCTGGGCAACATTCTCATCAGATTCCCCTCATACTAACAAGGAGTGGAAGATGTGGAAAGGACTCTTTCCTGCCTGCAAGAACATGGCTTCTCAGCAGGGGATGTTTTGTGAAGTTGCTCAGTAAAATCTTTCCCTTTTTACTCAGATCTCTGTCAGCCTTTTCCCTCACACTCTTAAAATACTCAGACAATATTAAATTTTGCCTAAATGCCCCCTTAAGTATATGTTCTTCTTCCTTTAGAATCTTAATGCCTTTCACAGCACTTTTATATGATTCTAGTTAGAAGACTACTTCTCAGACTCTGTGTAGATTGACCACAACTAACAGATGCTGACTTCAGACTTCAAACTGAACACTCTGCCTTCTCTCTCTCCACACATACACACCTAGCTCTGCCCATACACTCTCAGCCACCACCCAATCACCTCACTCAGCCACCAACCAATCACCTCACTCACTCATCTCCCTCTTTCACCCCCCTTGTTCTTCTGACACTTACCAACCATTTAAAGAAAAACACACATATAACTTGAAATCATTACATGAACATTTAGAGAAGACCCAATAGAACCTGATTTATAACAGTGCTGAAAGTTCATAAGGTGTCAAAATTCTGGTGCCCCCCCCCCCACTACACTTTAAACATCTAATCCTCTGCAACCTGGGAAATGAATAAAAAGCCATCTTTATCCATTCTTACTTGTGATCACTGAATACAATGAAGCTTACTTTCAAGTAAACATATATAAGAT